TTGCACGTTTCCCTAGGGAGAGAAAGCCTTGTTTACATTTTCCTCCCAATGAGGCTGCCATAACACCCCAGGGCAGAGCAGACAAGGGAGTGGCTGCATTGGTGCAGAAGTGTGAGACTTTCCCTAAGCCCCGACTATGGGGCTTCTGCTTGACCTGTGGGCAGCAGGCCTGGCTTTCCTTTCACCTCATCCCAGGAATCTATTTCTTGCTCTCTGGTGCAGGATAAGAAATTGAAGACGTCAAGGAAAAAAAAATGTTTTAATTATGTGTGGTGATGCATGTTAATGACACTTACACTGCAGTGATCATTTTGCAATTATACACATGCCGAATCATTATGTCAGCACACCTGAAACTCACATGTGTGCCAACTATGTATCAATTAAAAACAGAAAACTAAAGAAGTCATTAGAGAGTCCTTTCAAACGAGGTGGTATAAAGCATATGAATACACAAATTTCATCTCTAGATTCTTTCCAAAGATTGCCTTCAGAGGAGTCCTCTTTTGTTGGCCAATTCTATTTTTCTTGTGAGACAATTACTGTTATAAACTAAAGCTCCTGACAAAGGCTCTGCTCTTCTATATGCCTGGTAAATTAAGAGATGACCATCTGCTTCTGACAATATAGGCAGCTCCAACTTTTCCTACCCCACCTCATGGACTTGCCCCAGAGAGGCATTCCAAAGGCTTTAAGTTCATGTCTGTCAAACTGAGGGGTGCACATCCAGGAACTGAACATGATAAGAGTGATGGAACACTTTAAAAGTCAATAAATAAACACTAAATATCTAGAAAAAACACTTCTAAAGTAAACAGGTATATTATGAAACAAAACACCAACTTTTGTTAATTTCTAGGATAAAGCATAAAATAATAATCAAATAAATGTTGGGCTTACTGCAGTTGCCTTTTGCTATGGAATCCAGGCCCCAAAAGGCCTCACTCCACTCAACATTGAAGCTAAGTGGAAAAGTTTGAGAATCACTGCCTTAAGTAATTACTGGGGTCTCCCTCCAGTTTCTACCTCTGTTGTAAATGAAAGTCATGACACTAATACACATCTAAGCAGCATGAAATAAACTAAGGCAACAATCTGTAAGAAACGAGCAACAAAATGATGGAAGTGATAATGTGTATTACTTTGTACTCAAATTTGTTTTTAACTCTAAAAGTAGTAACTGTGTCCCTACTAATTCAAAGTTTAGACTTAGCAACCCGGCATAAATAAAGACGAATAGTTCTTACTGCAATGCCTTAGAAATCTGGCACATGTACACTTCATAACAATTATCAATATTTACAAGAAAATTAATCTGGTCCACTTAGTGATACATATAATTTGGTACTTGCTGTTGTTCCCTCTGCTTGGAACACTCGTCCCTTCAGTTCTCTACTATGATTCTTTCTTAGCCTTTACACTCAACTCGTCAGAGAAGCCTTTCCTAACCATCCCCCTACAAGCCTTCTATAAATGTCGTCATCCTGTTTATTTCCTTTAAAGCCATTACTACAATTTGCAGTTATCCAGGAATTTACTCTTTATCATCTGTGTGCTTCTTCCCAACAGAATGGACCAGAACCTTGTCTTATTTATTGCCACATCCCCAACTCTGAGTGTCACTCAATAAATATTTTGGAATGAAAGGCTGCTGCATAGTATTTAAAAATTAAAGCAGGCATTTCTCACAGATTTTTTAAACTCTAAACACTCAGACTGTGGAGCTATTATAATCTGGCTCTCTTTTCTTACAAACCTAAAAAGAAACTGAGGTTCGGCAACTCCTAGAAAATCTTTTTAGGATTCCAAACTAGGGGTGGAGCCAGGACTCATCTTGCATTTCCCTTGTCTCCCACGCCAGGGAGCTTTCCAAACCAAGCTCACTTTATTAGTCCTGCAGGATGTATAAACAGTGTTGAATATGCGTGAAAACCAATTGTTTGCTTCTTTTCCCATCAAATTGCCCTTTTTCTTTTTTCTTTTGCCCACTATAGTGGAGAAATTACATGCTAAGAAGGCTGACCTCTGTGCCATGTGCAGATGAGATGGAACACCATTAAAATACAATGCTGTTCCACAGCCTGGGCTATGAGCTTCATCTCCACTGCAGCCACGGCCAGAGAGCCACCAGATTCACTACAGAAAGTCACAAAGTGTGTATGAAGCCAGGAGAAGTCAATCCCATAGGCACCAATCTCTCACACATCCAAAAAATAATTTAAGACATACTTGGGTAGCTATGCCTATTTTCCTCAAAGAAATCAAATTTAAACTCCAGGGACCAAGATAAAAAAAATCCTAGGAAAAGAGAAGGGTCACATAAGCAAGTACCGTGAACAGTCACATGTTACAAATCCACTGGAAACTCCCAGAGAAGGACATGGGGACTGATGTGGAATCAGATCTATTTATTGAGTTCACAGGCAGGTAGCAGGTAACTAAGCCACCATGTCTGATGATAAAACATTTCTCCCTAGAAGAAACAGGGGGCATGTACAACTTCTTTCTAACCTCCTGAAATAGCTGGAGTTTTTTGCAGTGGCTAGGCCAAAGTTCCTCTCTCCAGACTGCTGCACTCTGTTGCCCGGAGTTCCCAGGCTTAAAATCAGGGCTCAAAATTTACCTTGTCAGGATCCGTGCACAGGTGAACCCACGCCACTCTCTAACCCTGCAACACAATGGCTGACTTGTCTTCTCTGGGCCAGGACATTTATATTATTTTGAAATCAGCTGTTTCTTCCTGTATATTTGTCCTGTCGGTATATTAAGACGAGCCCTAGCACTGGTCTCTATTTTCCAACTAAATTGACACAGAGTCTGATTCCTGGACGTGACAATGCTGAAATAAAATTCACACGTGTGCAGAACAGGTTTTACCCTGATCAAATTTCTCAACCATAAAAGTGAGGCCCCCAAATTACCTGCTATTTAACACTGGCAAATCTGCCTTGTGAATTCACGCCATAATGCTATTAACTCTGTACTTTTAAAAAAGAACATGAGATTAATTTTAAAACTAAGCAAGATGATAGTACTCAACTAATACAAATCGAGAAAAAGGTAAATTGTAAATCCTATTAGTTGCAGTTTAAGATATTTACCCAAGCATGGGACGAATGTTATTAGGATTCAATCGGTAACAGTATTTTTTTTTTCAAAACCTGTGCCAAATGTGTATATAAAGCAGTATTTTATTTTTACCCAAGAAAAAGTGCCCTATTTTAACTCCAAAAGACTTCTCATAAAAACTAAAGCAGATGCGGGTAATTACAATCTTAAGTACCTCAAGTTTCTTAAAAAACCATTCCAAATCATCATGAAACTCAAATAGTACGCACTGTCAATGGCTGTGTGCTATACCAGTCAGAGAAATTTTTAGGTAGTCCAAATGAAGCTACATGGTCAACGCTCTATAGTCAAATCAGTGGTATCCCTACCCCTACATAGGAAGGCTTTTTTTATTAAGTTGTTGTCCTACCCTTTACATAACAAAAACTCATGTTGTAAATAGTATTTAATATAACCTAATAACCTGAAAAGTTTTTCCACTCACACATTATTAGTAAATGAGCTTCAAGCATACTGATTACTACAAAAACAAGCTCATATTTCATGCAAGCCACAGCTGAGAGAAATTCAGACAGGAGCATAAATGAAGATATTTGTAATTTAAATGAACATTTAAAATAGTATATTTAAATTAACACAATGTTCAACTCAGTAAAAGTGAATTATTTTGTTAAAAGCAAAATTCTCTTTAATACTCGCACTAACATCTTACTCTGGAAATGCTGACAGTGCCCGGCACCTGGTATATGCTCACCAACTTGTTTGTTAAAAATGACCTTGACCTAGATTCCACTCACAGTTCACTGGGGTTTTGACCTGAGCAAGAGAATAACAACACTGCACTACTGTATTGCATATATATAATTGTGAGTAATCAGGTGTGGCTAACAATGGTCACCAGCTTCCACAGTGTTTATTCTATTGTTTCAGGAAAGCACAACATTCAGCTCCACCAAAAATAAAGCAGGAGAAGGTGAGTGAACACACCTTCCAAGACCTGTGTGACATATATCAATATATGAGTGTGGGTGTTTGCCTTTTCCTAAGTGTGAAAAATAATTTGACTAACACAAGTCAGCATTTCCACTTGGGTTTCCAATTAATGCAGGGGCAAAAGGAAGGCTGGGAGAAAATGAGACAATTGTGGGAATTGTGAATCTAGCAGGGTAATAGTTATTGTTGAGAAATGTATTATAAAATGTCTACCTCACATCACGTACATCCGGCAAATCACTTACCCAAATCAGACTGTCAAGATTAGAGATCCTGAGATTTTACAAAACCCTACATGATTTCTTCTCCAAAAAGAAATTCATCAACATAAATGGACTAGAAACATTTTTTTATTTTTTTTTTGGTTTTCTGACAAGGTGAAATTTTGATTAGACAATTAAACATTTTAATGAAAACAGGGAAACACAAAATGATTCCAAAACTAGGATCTGAAGATATTCTTATTCTTTATAAAAACTGGAAATTAATGTAACACATGTAAACAAGGTCTTTAGTTTTACTAAAGTGATTTATTTTAACAATAGTTCACACTATGACTTTTTTGTTAATATGGAAGGTCAATATGCATTATTTATTTTATATATATTTATATATAAAATATACATATACTCAAAAATTATCGCCTACACACAAAATGATGACAACCATGTCAAGTATATCCAATTTTGAAAGAATAAAAGAGGCTCTACAAAAATAAAAATAGTAATTATATGAAGACAGTGGTATAATGGTGATGGTTTTTCTTTCTTTTATAACATTATATTACTTTTAAAACTGAATTAAAATATATTTTGATTTAGTTATATACATAAAATCGCTACATCATTTAGAGATATTAAATAATAGCAGAAGAATATAGTTTCTAAATAAAACCACTATGTGGTTTTAAAATTCATGTAATTACAAAATCCACATACCTGAGCCAACCTCCTTTTCCTCTTCTTCAATGTTGTTTTTGATGCTATCATATTCCTCATCAATGGTCTGATTACCACGCATCTGAGATAAAATTCTACGGGCCTTCTGAGTCTGTCCTTTCTGAATCAGCCATCGAGGGCTTTCAGGTAAAAAGAGAAAGCCAAAAAACTGTATAACTGCTGGAATTGCTGCAAGTCCCAACATGTACCTGTAATAAGAAATCCACATATTATTGTAAAATTTGGACTTATTAGCACTGAGTATGAATAAAAGGTTTGTGTTCACCACATTGGAAATAGTATCTCATATTATATTAGAATGATTTTCCGTGTGTGTGTGGGTGTGAGTGACCAGAAAAAAAGAGTATTTTTATGCTGTGAGAAACTGAAAAATGAGAAAAATATGATGACATAAATTACAATAAAAAGGAGCAAAAGTCATAATAATTATGTATATACATTCTGAACCACACACATCATGCAAAACACCATAATCACCATTCCTTTCTAATACTAATACATATAATTCTGTATTTTACAATAGAAAATGAGGCTAAGACAAAACTCTGATAATCTGTTTAAAAAGATATTTTTCATTAAGATAAATGCCCCAAACTACCTATTGTTTTGCTCCGTGAATGATCAGTAATGATTTCACTTTGCCATCAAGCATCATGTTCACCCTCATTAACTAAGGAGAAGCCCAGAGCAGAAAAGGATAGTCAGAAGCAAATAATCATTATTAAAATGACAGAAATGTAGTAAGTGTATCACTTTAAATCAGAGAAATAACAAAAATAGTAATATGTGTACATCAATATCAAAGATCTCTCCAAAATTATTCTGACCACTAGAACGATTTCCTAACATCTCTTTGATGTTAGGCCTCCATCTTTTTTTTTTTTTTAAAGATTTTTTATTTATTTATTTGAGAGAGAGAGAGAATGAGAGATAGAGAGTACGAGAGGGAAGAAGGTCAGAGGGAGAGGCAGACTTCCTGCTGAGCAGGGAGCCTGATGTGGGACTCGATCCCGGGACTCCAGGATCATGACCTGAGCCGAAGGCAGTCGCTTAACCAACTGAGCCACCCAGGCGCCCCAGGCCTCCATCTTTTTGAATTGAGGGGTTAGATTAGATAAACTGTGAGGTCATTTTCAAATGGAAACTTCTATGGATCTAGGACACCTGTACGTTTTCTGTTGATCCAAATTCCCTGGGTATGTTCCATGGCAGATTTATGATGGCAGAGCTCAGAAAGCCAGCTGTGATTACATAACAACCACACTCACTGATATTCATAAATCAATTAGAAATCACTTGACTCAATACACTTTTCAAAGCTATTCCAACTGTTAAGCTATGTTAAACCCAAAGTAGAGTGAGCAACCTTGAAGCCTCCAAATATAAAACTTGTGAAATAAGTCCATTACTTTTCTTTCCTTCTTTTCTTTTTTTTTAAGATTTTATTTATTTATTTGACAGAGAGAGAGAGACAGCAGAGAGGGAACACAAGCAGAGGGACTGGGAGAGGGAGAAGCAGGCTTCCCGCTGAGCAGGGAGCCCGATGCAGGGCTCGATCCCAGGACCCTGGGATCATGACCTAAGCCGAAGGCAGACACGCTTAACGACTGAGCCACCCAGGTGCCCAATAAGTCCATTACTTTTCCAACAAAATTCATTTTAATTCCAAAAACAGCAGGAAAAAAAATACAGCTGTCACATGGGTATTAAAAATACCTCTCACTCCAAGATATTTGCAAACGACATATCTGATAAAGGTTTAGTATCCAAACCTATAAAGAACTTATCAAACTTAACACCTAAAAAATAAATAATCCAGTAAAGAAATGAGCAGAGGACATAAATAGACATTTTTCCAAAAAAGACATAGAGATGGCTAACAGATATGTGGAAAGATGCTCAACATCATCATCAGGGAACTACAAATCAAAACTACAATGAGATACCCTGTCAGGATGGCTAAAATTAACACAGGAAAAAAGAGATGTTGGCAAGGATGTGGAGAAAGGGGAAACCTTACACAGTTGGTGAGAATGCAAACTAGAGCAGCCATTCTGGAAAACAGTATGGAGGTGCCTCAAAAAGTTGAAAATAGAACTACCCTACGACCCAGCAAATGCACTACCAGGTATTTACCCAAGGATAAAAAAATACTGATTTGAAGGAACATGTGCACCCTGATGTTTACAGCAGCACTATCAACAATAGCCAAATTATGGAAGGGCCAACATGTCCCACTGACTGATAAATGGATAAAGAAGTTGGGGAAAATATATACAATGGAATATTAGCCATAAAAAAGAATGAAATCTTGCCATTTGCAAAGACATGGATGGAGCTAGTGTATTATGCTAAGTGAAATAAGTCAGAGAAAAACAAATACTGTATGATTTCACTCATACGTGGAATTTAATAAAGGAAACAGATGAACATAGGTATAAAAAAAAAGAGAGGCAAACCATAAAAACAAAGTCTTAACTACAGAGAAACCTCTGGCCAGACTTATGAAAAAGAAAAGAGAAATGACGCAAATAAAATCATGAACGAAAGAGGAGCGATCACAACCAACACCAAAGAAATACAAACAATTATAAGAACATATTATGAGCAACTATATGCCAGCAAATTAGATGATCTGGAAGAAATGCATGCATTCCTAGAGATGTATAAACTACCAAAACTGAACCAGGAAGAAATAGAAAACATAAACAGACCTATCACCACTAAGGAAATTGAAGCAGCAATCAAACATCTCCCAACAAACAAAAGCCCAGGGCTAGATGGCTTCGCAGGGAAATTCTACCAAACATTTCAAGAAGAATTAATACCTATTCTTCTGAAACTGTTCCAAAAAATAGAAATGGAAGGAAAACTTCCAAACTCGTTTTATGAGGCCACCATT